CATCAGGGAGATGCAGATCAAAACCACAATGAGATACCATCTCACACCTCAGAGACTGGCCCACATCAAAAAGAACAAAAGCAACCGATGCTGGCGTGGATGTGGCGAGAAAGGGACACTCCTTCACTGTTGGTGGGAATGTCCACTGGTTCAGCCCTTCTGGAAAACAGTATGGACGATTCTCAAAAAATTAGAAATTGAGCTCCCATTTGACCCAGCAATACCACTCCTGGGAATATATCCCAGAGAGGCAAAAATGTATAGTCGAAGTGACATCTGCACTTGTTTGTTCATTGCAGCCCTCTTTACAATAGCCAGAAACTGGAAGAAACCTGAATGCCCAAGAACAGATGACTGGTTAAAGAAACTTTGGTACATCTACACAATGGAGTACTATGTAGCTCTTAGAAAAGATGAAGTCATGAAATTTACATACAAGTGGTACAATATGGAAAGTATCATGCTAAGCGAAATGAGTCAGAAAGAGAGGGATAGACATAGAAAGATTGCATTCATCTGGGGGATATAAAGTAACAAAGTATGAGATTAATACCCAAGAATAGCTGAGATCAGCACCAGGAGGATTACTCCATAACTTAGAGGCCAGCCGGGTATCCTAGAGGAAAGGGCTATTCAGATAGAGAAGGGAGCACCAAATAAAGGATGTTTGGAGGATCCTCCCAGGAGGGGAGATGCATGTCGAAAGTAGACTATGGACTGAACATGTTTGCCACTCAATGCCTCTTTTGCAGACCACAACACCCAAAAGGAGAGAGAGAACACAGGGGATTGCCCTGCCACAGAGACGGGGGGATGGGGGGATGGGGGTGGGAGGGATATTATCCATGGTGGTGGAAAATGGGCACTGGTGGAGGGATGGGTATCTGATCATTGTATAATTGAAACCAAAGCACAAAAAATTGTAAATCTACAACTTTAAAAAAAATAAAATATAATAAAGGGGAAAAAAAAAAAAAATAGACATGAAAAAAAAAAAAAAAAAAAAAAAAAAAAAAAAAAAAAAATTGAAGCATATTTTGATGGACAAGTAAAAATGACGTTGAAAGTATGACTTAAGCACAAATAATAAAATCCATAAAAGAAGATAAACAAGAGAAATGGTGCATTGATGTTTACAAACAATAGTACTTGGTCATCATTGGTTACAATTTGTAAGGACTATAGAATAACGACAAACTATATGGATAGCAGCAGTAATCTCTATAAAGAAAATAGGCCAAGAAAGATTAGGTTTTAGAGAAAAAAGTAGATTAAAATTTCTAAATAATAAATGAAATTTATAGAAGACAGCTAAATGTGAAATTTTGGAATTCAAAAGCATGTCTATGTAAGATAACATTTGTGAATAATCAGTAAAAATGATGACCTAAGATATAAGATAGATGCATTTATACTGAAAATGAAGTTAGATGCCATACATTTTGGTTGTTTTGTGGAGAAGTCAGAAAAAAATCTAATAGAGATTACATTGTAATTAATGTTACATGACTCAAATGTTAGGATAGCATAAGCAATTGACTTTAAGAAATATGTACGGAGAGTAAATAATTAAGGAATACAGGAAAATTGTTATGGATTTTTCTCCTAAACAAAATATTAAGTAATTTATTTCCTTTCTTCAGATACTATTCTATGTACACATTTTTCAAGAGAAGAGGATATTTTCCTTTATCCCGACTTAAATTGCAAATAGTTTTAAAACTGTCGGTAAATACCATTAAAATAATTGAAAATGAGTCTATCTATTTTCTATAGAATATAGAAGCTAGATTTTTCTAGCTGCACTGAATAGAAAACTGATATCAGGGCACTTTAAAATGATGAAGAAATATATTGACTCACATCACCAAAAACCTAGAAGTGGGAAAGGATTGTTGATTCACTCACGTGGCAATGTCATCAAGGGCCATATGTTTTCTGCCTCTGTACTCACCATGAATTATTTTTCATGGTAATAAGACAACTGCCACTAGCAATCTGGTTACATGCATTCATGATCACATCATGAGTGTAAAAAGAGGACCTGTAAGTATTTTTTTCCCATGAAAGAGAGAGCTAAATCTCTGAAGTTTCCATCTAGCCTCTGAGGAGAGGTTAGAGTTATTGTCCAATATTGGGTAATTTTCTGGGAATTACTTTTACAATCAGACCTATAAGAATTAAGATGTGAAGTCAAAAGCCTTCAGTCAGATGGATAAAATGGGAGAGAGTAAAGATGAATACAAAATTGAGGTTTATGTTAGAAAAGAAAGCAAAAAAGGGCAGTGTGTGTGTGTGTGTGTGTGTGTGTGTGTGTGTGTGTGTGTGTTTGTTGAGACAGGGTCAAGAGTGTTCAGTCAAAAGGGTCAATTCCAGTGTGCTTAAGTTCTAAATTATAAATGTTTAAGATAATAAACATTTTAAAGTAATAATGTTTAACAAAAAAAGGGCTGTGTACTTTAAGTGAGTCACAATTATTGATAATAAATTATTTAGGTGACTTGATTACACTCTCTATACTAGTGAAAAATAGAAATGTATGAAGATGATGAAATTTTCTTTTAATCTAACAAATGCAGGACTTCATTCTTATTTAGTTTGTCTCCTGAACTATTTCCCAGAACATCTCATTCAATTTGGAGGAAAACTTTGCATCATTTCCCTTTTGATGATAGATACTGTTTCTTTACGAACAGTTGATCAGACCTGCTGGATGGAGTCAAATATTCATGTGTCTGAGGAGCATGTCTTGTATAAAAAAAAAAACTCCTTTCTTATTGTTATTACTTTCTGTCCTGTAGAATACCTTATGGATGCATGATCCAAAAAAATGTGGAATGTGCCTGGTGCTGATGTCTTCTCCCCATAAGTGTGATGTCTTTTCATTTTAATGCATTTCATCCTTTTATTGTTCAAAATATATTGTGTTTGACGCAGCCTCATTTGTTTATTTTTTGTTTTCTTTCTTTTATTTTCATTCCTGCTGTAGTCTAAATTTTAAACAAATCTCAAATGTCGATGTCAAGAAGTATATGATTGTGGATTTTTTTCTCCTTTATGTTTCATGGTCTTAGATCTGGCTTTCAAGGCGTGAATTCATCTTGAATTGATTTTTTGTACGTAGGGCTAGATATAGATCTAGTTTTATTCTTTTGCACGTGGTATTCATTTTCTCAATGTAATTTACAGGAGAAAATTTTCTTTATTTTAAATTCTCTGTAAATATAAAAAGCACTAATGAAACTCAAAAATATATAACAGCCCAACTATTTAAAAAATGGGCAGAGTATCTGATAGACAGTTCTCCAAAGAATACAAAAAAGATAGTAAATAGACATATGAAAATATGTTCATCATCTCTGATAATCAGGCAAATACAAATCAAAACAATGAGATCACAATTGTGAGAATGACTGTTATCCAAAAGATAATAAACAAGTGTTGGAGAGGAGGTAGAGTGAAAGAAATCTTTATAAATTATCAGTTGAAATGTAAATTGTTATAGTCATTTTAGAAAACACTATGCTAACTATTCAAATGATTGAAAATAAAAATCCCATACAATTCAAATATTTTATTTTTAAGTATTTATTCAAAAATGCAGAAATGCTAACTAGAAGAGATATAAATCCTCCATATTCATTGCAGTATTGTATACAACAGTCAAGACTTAGGCATAACCTAAGTGGCCACCAAAAAGATAAATGAATATAGAAGAGATGCATGGGGAGAAAATACAGCAGGTAGGGTGGTTTCTTTGCATGCAGCCAACCTAGGTTTGATTCCTGGCAGCCCATATTGTCTCCTAAGCCCATCACCAGTGATCTCTGCATGCAAGCCCTGCCCTGAGCACTGCTGGTTGTAACATAGAAAATAAAATAAGAGGTACAATAAAATAAAATTCTCTCTCTCTCTCTCTCTCTCTCTCTCTCTCTCTCCCTCTCTCTCTCTCCCCCTCCCTCCCCCCCCCCAGAAAGTATCATGCTTGGTGAATAAGTTAAAAGTAAACACTATATAATTTATAATTTAAGTTTTTTGTGTGATATGTACAGAATAAAAGAAGATGGGCAAAATGAAATAAAAGTAAACTTTCAGACTATAAATTGATCTTATTTATCTTATTATCATAAAGGATGGGACTAAAGAGATGTGGCAAAGAGGACACCCATATTGTAAAGTATTTGTTGGAAACTTCCATGGGCAATTTAATGGAGCATATACACAGTAATGGAAGAATGCATGCCTGAAACTTATAATGTAATGCTAGTTTCATAAAAATAATGTGGAATCCTGAAGTTTATTCTTTAGTAACAAAAATACATGCAGTAGTTGTGAGATATAAGTATAGAAGTATTCTCTTTCCATTTCTGCTTGATAGAGGTCCTCAGAACAAGAGAGAACAAGGAAGAATACTAAATTCTTCTAGAAATCTGTTTTTCACAAATTTAAACCAGCAAGATGCAAAATTTACAGCCGGCCCTTCTTTTTTTTTTCTCCCTGAAAGCAATTCCTCTAGTGAAAAAGCTAAGGCAGCCCAACTTTTCAAAGGTCATGAGACAGCAGCATTTTTCTTCACTGCCTGTATATTAGACAAAGTGAAGAGAGACTTCTAAATCTGGCCTGCAGAATGTAGGTGTAGTTTCTTTTGTGAAACATAACTCTTCATTAAAAATATTTTATACTAGATGAAAGAAACCTAAGGAAGGAACAAAATGCTGACTATCAAAGTATTCATTTGAAGGTGTCTGTCATATCTAATTTAATACATGGCTAACCTTATTCTCTTTATTAGTTGATCAAAAGTTCACAGATCAAAAATTCAAGTTTAAATATCCTGTCCTTTGTTAAAACTTTAATGGGGTTTGGATAATTGAAGGAGTGCTGATGAGAGCATTTTAACCAGCAAGTATTTGCATGATTATACTTTGGGAGGGAAACAAAATGCAAGATAAATCAATGTTAGAAGATAATTATTTTCTCTTTCAAAAAGTCTCGTAAATATATTTACCTAATAGGGAAGATACCATTATTATGAAGGTGGTTTTCCCAGGGGACACTTATACTTTGCACTCTGGTTGTGCTGACCCTTAGATTTTCCCAAATGCGGGAAACTCAACTGCATAATCTGTGTAGTGGGGAGCTGTGTTTGCCTTCTCATCAAAAAAAAAAAAAAAGTTACTTAAGTGTAATTTATTTTCTAATGGAAATCATGCTCATTCATTTACTCAGAAACATTCAGTACATGCAAGAATGAGGTCTAATTCCTATCATGAAGTAACTGATAGAACATTATTAATATTTTTATTTAAATTGCTAAAATACAATAAACTCTGAAGCACCATGGGAAAGGTGCCATAAAACATCACTACACAGTTCAGGGAAAGAATAATATATTCAGTTGACTTATTGGAGAAGATTTGGTAGACAGGAAACTTAGAACTCAATTTTAATAGGATTTGGATTTGTAGGTAAGAAAGAAGGGCATCATTGTAGAGAGGAGCAGCATTATGGTCAAAACAGGAAGGTAGGGAGTAAGATAGTTATAAGCAGATGGATCAATTCGACTGGAGCATAATTCTGTCCATAGGAAGCTGAGAAAAGTTTGATCTCATCTGAGATTTTTTTCCCATCTGGAACCTAAGATGTAGTAGATATGTCCAAGTTTTAAGTATGTCCTTTCTCAGATACAGGTGCAAAACCAGCCCTGGCCTGAAACATCAAACCACTGATACATATGGCAGAGTGGAAGGTGCGATCAGACCCAGAAATATTACTGTGGGATAGGAGTCAAAGGATTTGGTAGAGGTGGGTGGAGAACTGATTATGGGATTTCTGAAAACCTATTTATTCTACCATCTGTTGATAGGCATTTGGATGCTTCCAAGTCTTGGCTGTTGCATATAATGTTGCAATGAAAATGGGGATGTGTTAGTATTTTTGTACTCTTTGGGCAAAATATCAAGAAGTGGGACAGCTAGATCATATAGAACTTCTTTTGTTTATTTACATATGTATTTTATGAGCCATAGTTGGCAGTGTCAGGGGCCCTTCTGTGGCTTTTTAGTTCAGGAGTCCATCCTGGGCAATGCCTGAAGGGACTGTATGTGCCCAGTATCTGGGCATCTGCTTGCAAAGTGTGCCTCCAAGTCCTTTCTGCCAGACCCTATATTTTCACTTTATTGAGGAATCTTCATTTTGCTTGTTGAGAGAACTAGGCTGATTTTTTTAACTCTAGGTAGTCCTGTAGCACTGTCCTTCTGTTGTTCATCAACTTGCTCGAGCAGGCACCAGTAATGTCTCACAACAAATTGTGAGACTTGTTACTGCTTTTGGTATATCAAATATGCCACAGGGAGCTTGCCAGGCTCTGCAGTGCAGGCAGGATACTCAAGGTAGCTTGCTGGGCTCTCCGAGAGGGATGTATATAAGAGAATACAAGCAATTATGTTAAAATCAAATACATGTGTGCTGCTTTAGGTACATCATTGGCTAGAATATAAGAGGTCGGGAGCTTTGTTTTATAGTCTCTTGATCTTGACCATATATGAGATTACATGGCACCAGGGGTGGTTTGTGGGTGTGACTTCCTAGCTACTGGAAAATGGGGGATCTGGGTGGAGAAGGCCCAGTTCTGATCTGAGAAGGCTTGGAGATCTCAGCCCTGGCTTCCACATACCTGGGTTCCTCTGCCGATTGCTTCATGCGTGAGCCTCATCTGAGCTTGTGGAGAGTGGCCTTGAGCATGACTGTGGCTGGGTTCTGAACCATCACAACAGACAGTTGTAGATAAATACATCATCAAGTGTATTCTCTTGCCCATGTATAAATACTATCCATCACTACTCACCTACAGACAACTATCAATTTGCGTTCTTTCCCTCATTTGCATTTTCTATGATTTTATATAAATGTCCAGATGTGTATCACTGGTAGCTTTCACTCATCCTATTTATTCTGAAATTTATCCATGTCATAATATGTATAATTTTCCGTGTTTTGTTGTCAAGCATAAATCCCTACAGTGTTTATGTTGCAGTTTATAGATCTGCTCATTTATTTAAAAACATATTAGTTGCTTCCAATTTTGGATTTTAGTAAATAAAAATACTATGAACATTCATGTATAAATTCTTATAGGAATTGATGCTCCTTTTCTCCCTCATAGGTAGTAACTATGAGTGGAAGGACTGCATTGTATGGTAGGTGTTAGATTTAAAAATAAAATTTACCAAACAGCTTCCCAGTAGTGGTTGTGGAAATTTTATTTCCACTAGATATTTATGAATTTCTAGTTTATATAGATCCTCACCTACTTTAGGTGCTGTCACTCTATTTTCATTTCCTACAATTCTAATTAGCTACAGTGTCATCTAATTGTGCTTTTGATTTGAAATTATTTAACAACAATACATTGGACATCTTTCTGGACATCTTTCTTACATAGGCCTTCCAGATGTCCTCTTAGTTATATCACTATTATGAATATATTCTACTTACTTTTCAGTTAGATTTTGATGTGTATTCCTTACCCCTGTGACCTTCTGTGGTATCCCCACTTTTTTCACTAGAAGAAACAGACTAGAACCCCTGGCCTACCTCCTCTTTGCCACTGTTGGTTGCAGAAGTTGTGTTGGTATCTGAGTCATCCTTGGAGTTATACTTCTTTGAAGGGTAACAAATGTTTATATCAAGTAGCTCTAGTGCCCCTCATGTTGCAACAGAGTCACATAGATTCAGTAAACTTTCTCATTTGATTCTATCTTTGTTCTGTTTATTCCAAGCTGTCAGTTATTTCTGCTTAGGTGATTGATTGTACCCAATGGTTATGTGCATAAATTCTCCAGGAAACAGTTTGTACTGCTGTACTTTGACCCTGTTTTAGATAATACTATCTAGATATACTGAGAATGTCTAATAGCATCAAATTCTGGTTCATTTTTTCTTAATAATTTCCTTTAAATATTTTCTCCTTTCTCTTATTTACACTATTAGTAACAAGGAGAAACAAAGAGAAACTAGATTTTATCTTCAATATTTTGCTGAGAAATATGCTTAGCTAAGTATTCATTCCACAGTTTTATTTTTCTATCCAATAATAGATCATAATTCTGTCAAGATATTTTGCCAGTATAATAAATTATATTCATACATGTATATATTTATTACAAGTATTGCATGTATTTTGTATAATTTTTATTCTTTCAAATATTTTATACATATATAAACACATATATAAAATAATTTTTAAAGTTTACATAGTACTTATATAATTAATTTTACATTCTAACTCCATTTTTTACTAGTTGTGAGATCTTACTGCAAGAAACTTAATTGCTTTTTTATTCATGTTTTTTGGTCTATAAAAATTGACAATAATAAAATATATACCTTATTAATTGGTTTCCAAAATTAAACTGTGAACTATTTGAAACAGTTAGAAAACTATCTAATGCATGTGATCACTAAACAGTGATTACCTAGTATTATTTCCAAAACCCCTTGCCAGATTTTAGGACTAAGGTCAGAACCCTGTGTTAAGAGAAAGATTTTCCTTTTACATGTAATCTATCTGCTCTAGTTAAATCCTGATGTATCCATCACTTTAGCCAGTCACTTGGGCAGTCATAAAATTTGTCATTGACAATGTGGGAAAGCAATCTCATTGTGGATTACATGGTGATTTTTTACTGTTCTGCCTGCTTCCAACTTCATCCATTGCCTTCCAGGAGTACCACACCACACTCTCTGAAACAACAGTCTCTGACACATAATCCGGTAACATCTTACTAGCTATGAAATAGCGCTGCTATTCCTCAGAGACCCAGAAAGTCAACCCTATAATGTGACATTAATAAAGGTTTCCATTCTCAAAGCAGTGATTTTTCTTCAACTTTTTCACTGTAAAAAAGGACCTGCATGACATAGGTTAGAATAATCTCAGAGGTGGTAAACTTAAAATTTTAAAACACAAGAACATCTTACTTAAAATACATTAGTGAAAATGTATTATTTGTTTGATTCATCTATTTTCAGCCAAATAAATCATGTCTAAGCCCTAAATTGTCAAAAATAGAACTATGTAGTTTTAATAGTAATCTGATAACTTCATGAAAATCAAGCTAGACATTTTTCATAAAACAACTCCAGTTTAGATTCTCTAGAAAGATTCAGTTGGGTAGGCGAGGAAGATTATCTGATGCTGATTCACCTTGAGTTTTCTTTTATAAAATTGTGATGGTGTTAATGACGTAAATATTATCCGGTGTGAAATGGAGTTATTTTCTTCTATTTATTCGGTATACTTATACAACTGATACTTAAAACTAAATTGAGATTTGGTATATTTTTGAAACTGCAAAGAAGTTTAAGGTTAGAGAGGTAGCGTGCTTCTTGGGTTTGAGGATTTTTGGTTGTTGTTGATTTTTTCAATAGAAATTGACTTTTGAGAGGTGATTCCTTGAACAATTCTTTGTGGGTTCACAGTAGCAGTTAAAAATCCATTTAGAGGCTTTAAGCAAACTTTACTAGATTGTAGGTCACTCCCTGGTAGATAAGTCACAAAATTGCTTCCAAAAATGTACACGATTTGCTTTCTCCCTGCTGAGGAGAAGCTCTGAAGTGAGAAAGCACAAAGTAAGAATTATTTCCTCACTCCTCTGTTTAATGCTCCTGTCACAGTTGAAGTCACCTGAAGGAAATCAGAGTAGTAGCTTAAAATGCAACTGTTTTCATCAATCTGCCACAGGCAACAGAAAACAAATGATTGTGGTTCTTATCTTTGCCAGTGGCAGGGCATTTATTAAAGAACAAAGATAAGAGAAAAGAAAGGGACAAGAAATCTCTTGGCAAAGAGTATGAATGAAATATGTTACCAAAAGTACAGGGCTTTTCAAAAATAGTCTTGCAATCACTGAGGCCTGTTAAGATGGCCATGCAATGCTATGGTGAACTTGTGAGGTATAAATGTTCCCCTTCATAGTATTAAGCTATTGACCCCCTGCTGCACCAATAATTTTTCTCAAGCACCATTTCATCATGTCATTTCTACTCAAGGACACTTACAGAAGAGCACCCTGGTGTCTACCATATTAAACCCAGACTTGTCGGCTTGTCATCCTTAGCAGTCCTCTCTAACTGATCCCACTCTCTATTGCCCCAGCA